GTAAGACGAGAAAAAGAGAGTAAATTAAGGGACTGGGAGATGAAAAGAGAAGGGAAGAAAGAGAGCTAAGTCACGAGTGTTGTGTCTGGAGCTCGTTTATGGTTGTTCGCGCTCGAACTCTCGCTCCAGGGAACGAGAGAGTTTCAGAAATGGCGCTCTTGGGTCAGATCGAATCAACCGTGTTTCTCTGCAAGGAGGTAATCCCTGTAATACCCAGAAGTCGCGCAGACCCATCGCTACCATTGATGTACCCAAAACAGACTCGTCCTATGAATGATTCGATTTCGTAGCAAACCGAGCAATCGTGTTCTATTTCGAGGCGAAAAAGTATCGATCGAAGAAAGAAATGTCGCAAACGGAGATAGAAAGTTTACGATCTGAATTTCAACAAACAACGAATAATAACTAATGCATGCATAAAATATGTACTCTTAAGCAAACACATCGTGAACGGTGAACGTTTTATCGTTCCGTGGTTTCCCGAAACAAACTCCGCTTCAGGTAAATTTACTCGTGAGTCACTGTCTGATAATTTTAGATCGAATCGACCATTAAAATCTACGCTCGTGTTTTCGCCGCATTACGTGTAATTTCGTGCCGTTTTCCCATCTCGCTGTCGCGCAAAAAACTTTGCAACACGCGTAACTCGTTCCATTAACGGATAAATATCGATACGGGCCGACGTACGCTTCTTCCGAATGAAGGAAATATTTCTGGAATGTACGATGTGCTTTCGCGTATTTTTAGATATCCTTGCACTCGAATGATCGCGCCCTGACCCTTTGGATATTGGACAATGAACGAGGACACGTTACTCGTACCACCATGCAGGGAATTGCGGGAATTCGAAGAGACGTCGACCGCTTTTCGTGGCAATTCCTTATAAAATGTTTCCACTCGAGGTGGCAATCGTTAAAACGAACAGGGCCGAAACGATTGTAGAATTAACCGGACCATTGGCAAATTGACGACTGCCACATCGGAACAATTGACGCTTAATGAACCTGACACCGTGTGCGCGCTTAAACAGTGAAATATAAACGAGTAAGACGATAATCGATCCTAAACAATCGACGCGATATTTTCGAAATTGCTCGGACCGTTCTTCAAACATCGCATAAAACTCGACACACCGGGCAAGCGGCGAATCGTATATCTAATCTTCGATTAAACACGAGCCAGCCGCGTGTGTCGATATATCGATCTAACGCGGTTCGTCTAACGAGAAAGGAAAAACGTTCAATTCGGCTGGTCGAGCTAGCGATGGTACTTGGTCGACGCGAAACATTTCCTGCCGACTAGGGGACGCATTTGATAGTGGTAACCATGCACCTCCAGCGTTTTCCAAACAGCATTCGCTAGCTAAACAAACAACCGAGACACAGTTGACCAACTATCCCCAGCGACGCGCAAACAGATGACTTTACAATTCCCTTTGATCAACAATTTTCGAATGATTTCCCTGACGTCACGCCCAACTGACACTGCCACCCTTATTGCCCTTATCGTTGCTAAATCAAAACACGATAGTGCCTCACACGGCGTCAGATAATATCATTTTTCCGAAAACAGATAAGCATATTCGACCATGAGTGTGTTCGTGAATCGACCTCCGAAAGTCGATAATCTCACGGGCATTAGATCGAACAAACACGTGCTAGAATTGACGTGTCCGAAACTGTCACGAGAAAAAATGAGAACCCCTTCATCTACCATTCACGCAGTAGTCACGGCGCATGGCTCCTCGAAAAACTGTTTCCTTCTCCGGATGATTTACGGAAAAAAAAGAATAAAAAAAAAAAAAAAAAAAAAAAAAAAAAAAAAGAAAAAAGAAAAAATAAGAGGAAAAAGCAGACTAGACTGAATCCTCGAAAGACCTCCTGAGGCTGTCTGCTAAGAAAACGATTCCGATTTATGGTCTCCTACATTACGTCCGAGCGATTAACCTCTAACGATTCCAGCAGCGACGCGAGGAAGGACACGTGGTACACGATCCGGGCTCGCCCAATCGGAATTCAACTTTTGAAAATGAAATATCGCGAGAGCTACGAATGTTAATGATACGCAAAATAAATGACAATCCGACGAGCTTGAAGAAAGTTTATCTTGAGAATAGACCGTGGCGTATTACAAAAATATCACGTCAATTTCAATCGACTGAACACTGTTGCACATGACAGCAGGCGAGAGAACGACGAGTCTCTAATGTCTAGGTTATGTCCACTGTATCTCTGGCGCGTCTAATAGCCCGCTCGATTGAAAGCTTTCCGTATTTCAATAGAAACGTACGAAAGAATAATAACAGCGATATAAAGAACACAAGGAGAAACGAATCTTTCCCGGGGGTTAGTTCACTACGACGGGGCAGCACTGTCCAAAGCACTGACAAGCAAACCAAAACACAGAACGGAGCGAGTCAGTCGAGAGAATCATCCGGCACGGATACCCGACGCGATCGAGAGCTCGACCGACCGAAGCACAACACTCGAGTTTGCCTAACCTTTGCAGGAATAATGTGGCGACACAAGGAAATCACAGAAGCGACGCTTGCTGGATTTAATGCATGGTGCTTTCGCAGAAGACACTCGACACAAGAGACTCCGTCTCTCAATTTTCACACCGCACACGCACAGCACAAGATTTCCCCGATTTCGACGTTAAAAAGCATTATTTCGTAACTGACGGCACTCACCGGGGTGCTTGTTGGCGATCTTATTGAAGCAGTTTTGAAAGACCTCGTAGAGATGCATCGGCTCGTCGTCGCTGGCCGCCATGTTTTCACGAGACGAGCAAACGAGTGGACGTCCGTGGTTGAGGCGAGTGGGCACGGTTTCGCGGTGTGGCCGCGCGTGGAGCCACCCTCCTCCCGGAACGGTCACGCACACTACTGAACCACACCGCCTCACCGATGCAGCTCTTATAGTCCATCAGTGGCGCCACTCTTCCTCCGTTGATTTGCACCACTGCCGCTACGCGGCAGATTTGAATATCGTTTTCCTTTCTTTCGGTACCTTAACAAAAATACACCTATTGTTAAATAATTTATCGTAATCATGGTTATTACGATACTATCGTTCTATCATTTCATTCGATAATTATCCTTCTTTTCATTAGTTACAATAACGGAAGACCTACTCGCAATAGCAATAAATGTCTTATTTATTTATTAAGATTAAGAGTAAGATTAAAATTACAGTCTGTGTAAATCTAAGGATTTTGGGCATACTGTTGCAGTAAAGATTTTTATTCACATATTGCGAGTACAAATAATTGTACAAAATAAAACTACAAATTTGCCATATGTAAGAAACATATAACTAATGTTAATTCGATTTTATTACAATAATATAATATAGTTCGTCGTACTTTCGCGTATCGACATATCGTTATTTGTATATGTACATAAAATTAAGATCCTATTTTGCATTTAATGTTATCATTGTTATAGATTCTAAAAGATATAAACGAAATAGATTTTAATGTCGTGATTATACATGCGCGTATTTCTTACGAGTTACGAGAGATATGACAATAATATCGCGTAATTTTCGTCGTATCGAACGTTAGAAACGTTGTATCGTGTTATTAAACTCCAGCAAAATCGGAATTTTGAGGAATCGGATGAGATATGTCCTCGTAATCCTGTCGACCAAAGCCTAAAATAGAAAAACGTTCATAAACGTCTGTCCCCATCCCCGTTAAATTATAATCCACATGTACAAAACGACAATACAGCACAATTGCAATACGACGTAATTTACATAATTTAAAATAACTACTAATAAAACGCATATTTCACAAATTATCTATACTGTTGTAAGTAGCTTAACGTATGGTCTATGCGACATAATGGATAGACTCGAAAAGAACATCATGCAGCTACTTAAAGCATAAGATTAAAGAAGCAACACGGGTCTACAAAGCATCTATATCCAATATATTACTGACCCATTGCAGAACTTGTAGTAAACATTGTGGCTAAACTTCCACCTCTTGCTTGGCCTATTCTTAAAAGATGTATGCTTGTGATGACGCGAGCAATCATGTTTATGATCATAATTGCTGCGCTAAACTTCTCAGATGTAAATGCATGCAACCATATAAGTGCATCTGTATAAGGAAGTCGATTAACAAGGTAATTTAAGCATTAGGTGTTATTCATAAAATGAATAGTAAGTGACGCCAACTTACAGTTTGTTGGAAAGTAGACCGCTAATGTTACTATGTCAAGAAGTATGGAAAGCACATTTATAAAAAGTGCCTAAAATATATAATTCTATTACACACACCGGTCAATTGATTATACAGCATGTAACAACAGCTAAATGCTTACAAATTGCAGAGGTTCATCTGATTCGTTATTGTGAATAGCCCACAATAGACAGATGAAGAAAAGCAAATTATAAAACATTACAGATTTAGGGCACCAAGATCCCTGAATGCTCCTAAAATTTCATGTTTTAACTATATCATATAAAACTGATATTCTGCATCATCTCGTAGTGTTTCGCAATACTTTTTAATGACAGATTAGTATACGATAAACAAAAATTTATCCTTACCATGTTACTAGGACTAAATGAATTAGAAATATCACCTGAAAAAATCCGACATAAACATAAAAGATGATCTCGAAATTCAAAGTAATTAAGTTTCTAACCAACAAATCCTCAATAATATAACGTGTGCTATTGCAGAAACCATTTCGATAATACGAGAAACTTGTCAAACAAGTTATGGAATTGTTTCATTACCGTGCTTTTACATAACCGTATTTTATTCTTCGAAAAACATGCATTGTCAAAAGAACTACGTAAAACCCTTTGTGAAATATAATTACAATTTTAGTGGATTATCTGACATCTGTTCTCATAACTGAACACACTGAATATCATCAAAAATACTCGCACGCAAACGTGTGCGAGCGAAAGGCGATAAGAAAGCGAAATAAAACGTAACGAATTATGACGTGCAACGAATTATACCATAAAGAAAGAAGCAAACGATTCCATAGAACTTCTTTAAAACAGCGGAGAAAGTGACAATAGCAATGAAATGATATTTACCTTTAAGGAGTAATGAGATATACTGGATATGTTCGGCATTTTTTAAGCTTTAAAATTTTCCTCTGACTTGATCTGAAACTGTTTCAATTTCTTTCTTTCTACGACGATTATTGCCAACTACTCGTTAATCAGGACACGTCTTATTCACAATTATTTAACTGTTATTAAACTTTCGCTATCTTCTAAACATCCCGTCGAGATAACACAAAACGAATATTACGTACTGTGTAGCGATTCACCATAGTGACATCTATAGTGGCATCTACCGAGAGTGTGCGACTGAAGCGCCTCCTGTGAAACAATAAATGAACGAATCATCTTAATTTAATAATTAAAATTTATCTAAATGTACATTTCGTTCCGATTTACATTTTATCCGTGAGAAAAAGTGACACGAACTTTAATTTTAGCAATTAGTGAACAAAATAAGGATATTGTTATCTTTTAATTAAATGAGAAGCACATACAAAAATCCAATATCTTTGTATATTTTTCATTTTGACAAATATTCGTTGATCCTACATGATCTAAGCATGAAAAACAATTAATCTGTTTCTACGATTCTGCTGTAATTACGAGCAACACCGGCTACGTACGAAATGTCAGCTGCTGAACTACGAATAACTTCATTGAGATGGCAGTGTAACTCGGTCCACGAAATAAGCGACTCGCATTGTTGTATCTGGCGTAAAGCACGTGTATAAAGTGTAGTTAAACATAGGTGTATAATATAGAAGAATATACGAAAGTCGTTGGGAAAAAAGATTATTAAAAAAAAAAATGCTAAGAAAAGGAATGCTTTATGTAAGAAATGTACGCCATGCTGCGAGAAAGATTCACGATGAAGCTACTGTTATTGGTAGTGCTCAAGATACGAAATCGACAGAGTACCAGGTTAGAACGATAATAAACACGCATTGCGTTCGTAATCGTAGCACCGAAAATTAATTCATCGAGGAAATTATTCGATCGATATTACTTTGTTGCATAAAATAGGATACAAAGCATGTTGTAATATTTATATCGCAACGTCATCTTTTATCGCAAGACCAAGATAAGTCGAAATTCTTTGTTTAAATCGTCCAGACGTGGCGTTCGATCGTAAATGGGTTTCGCCGTAAATTGGCGCGTATTTCAAATGTCACGAGCGTCGCGCATGCCCTTTTTCCATTGCAATTTTGGTATAGTACAAAGAACATGCCGAATAATTGAAATTATTAGAAAGGAATTAACGTCCTCTAAAAACATTTCTAGGAAAATTATCTTGAGATGAAACATTTAGTAGACACGTTAAAGAAAACGGTCGAGAAAATTGTAGAAGGTGGGGGCTATAAGGCGAAAGAAAGGCACGTGAAAAAGGGAAAATTATTACCACGGGAACGAATTAACATGCTCCTTGATCCGACGTCTCCTTTTCTCGAATTTTCGCAATTAGCTGGTTATAAAATGTACGACGAGGACGAAGTACCAGCTGGTGGGATAATAACCGGTATTGGCAGGATAGAGGGGTAAGTAGTAGAGGGTAAGTTTATAATTAAACGCGTGGAAAAATATATATATTAAGAAGATTCTCTCTAACGAATTAGAACGGAATGTGTAATAGTCGCAAATGATGCAACCGTGAAGGGTGGTACATATTATCCAATCACGGTGAAGAAACACTTGAGAGCACAAGAAATTGCCGAGGAGAATCATTTACCCTGTATATATTTAGTGGACAGTGGTGGTGCAAATTTGCCTAGACAAGCCGAGGTATTTCCAGATAAAATGCATTTTGGCAGAGCCTTCTATAATCAAGCGAATATGAGCGCTAAAGGAATCGCGCAGATAGCAGTAGTAATGGGAAGTTGTACAGCAGGTTTGATTATAACTCTCATAATTCTCGTATCTCGTTCTAGTTGAATCTTTTACCGATATAGATTATTTATGAGGATATTTAATCAATTTATACAGGAGGTGCATATGTACCAGCAATGGCGGATGAGAATGTGATCGTTGCCAATCAGGGCACTGTCTTCCTGGCTGGTCCGCCCTTAGTGAAAGCTTCCACGGGTGAAGACGTTACTCCGGAAGAATTGGGTGGTGCGACGCTTCATTGTCGGTAATTAACAAGTATGTTTGAACGCGTTATTTTTGTTTTTCACCGTCGATATTGCAGGCTTCGAATTTCAGGACCTCCGGAGTTATGGATCACTATGCACTGGACGATGCTCACGCATTGCACTTAACCCGGCAGATCGTAAAGGACTTAAATAGACAAAGACCAATGCACGTAAACGTGGAGAAACCGGTGACCATACCAGAGTACGCCGTTGACGAAATTTATGGTATAGTTGGAATAAATTTGAAACGATCTTACGATGTGAAAGAAGTAATCGCAAGAATCGTGGATGGCTCGAAATTTCGCGAGTTCAAGGCACAGTATGGGGAAACGTTGGTTACTGGATTTGCAACAATTTACGGTTACCCCGTGGGAATAGTCGCGAATAATGGTGTGCTATTTTCGCAAAGCGCGTTAAAAGGTGCACACTTCGTGCAGCTCTGTGCTCAAAGAAAGATACCGCTCATTTTCTTGCAGAATATCACAGGTTCGTATCTCTCATTGAATAAAATTGCAGCGTTCCCACGACTAATGCATCTGGCCATTGTAGGATTTATGGTGGGCAAAGATGCAGAGGCAGAGGGCATTGCTAAAAATGGTGCTAAAATGGTGAACGCTGTGGCTTGTGCTCGAGTACCTAAAATTACGGTGGTAATTGGCGGCTCGTACGGAGCAGGAAATTACGGTACCTTGCACTTAATAAACGACTGTTCGAACTCACATTCAGTTTGATTAATTTTGAGACAGGTATGTGCGGTCGCTCTTATTCGCCGAGATTTCTCTATTCCTGGCCGAACGCCAAAGTATCCGTGATGGGTGGAGAACAAGCTGCCGGTGTAATGGTCCAGATTACTAAGCAGCAACGCATACGTGATGGGAGACAGGTACTATATGACTTTTTTCGTTCTAACAGACGGTTAATCTTGTGAATTTCGACAGTGGACAGCCGAAGAGGAAGAAAACCTGAGGAGATCCATCATGGACAAATTCGAACAGGAGAGCAGTCCATACTATTGCAGCGCTAGGTAAGTTTGCACGTCGTTACATCTAACAGGCACCAAGGATAAATTATACGAATAATAATTGTCTTTTAGACTTTGGGACGATGGTGTAATCGATCCTGTAGATACCAGAGTGGTACTAGGTCTTAGTCTATCAGCAGCGTTAAACGCACCTATATTAGAGAGTAATTATGGAGTTTTCCGAATGTAAAACGTGCGTTGAACGTAATGTAATCAGTGATCTGCAGTTGCAAAAGTACGACTCAGTGCTTGTAGATCCTCCGAGATTTTCTTTGATATTATTTTACACCAAAGCTATATATATTTTTTTATACGGAATCTGCATGTATATACGAGATTATTAAACATTCCAAGTTTATAGGTATTTTGTATGTTTCTACACGTATCTTTATTAGCCTTCTCTCGTCCTTCTTTACGCGACTATAAAATAGGGACGCTTCTTCACGGATGCGAAATAACGAGCACGCGTATACGCGTGTTTCCTCTCGCTTTATTAAGAGTTATTTTACACTTGCGCGTTCCGTTATAATTGTATTGAGATTATAGCAGCAATTAATTACCTCATAATTGTCTAAGTTGCTTAAGTCACATCACGTTGTTACACCTCGTCGCGCGACTAGGTCTCTTCGGTATTCTCCGCTCGCAAAGGCCAATTTTCTTCTGGCAGTATAGCGGCTGTATTATTATGCGGTTATTCGCGAGGGTACAGCTGGGAAACGTATTAACGTATTAAGTAATGCGGATTACGAAAACAGAAGAGACAAGTGTGAAAATTTGGCGGTCGCAGAGCGGAGAAATTTCTTGAGCAGATGCTATTTAACCCAGAATCGAAGCTTTGCAGTTAATCTTCCTATACAGTAACCCCCCCTGTATCTTTCGAACGGTCGATTATATTTCTAAGACTAAAGACGACCGCAATCCTTCTATTAACACTGTACGGAACATCGTCCGAAATGCTAGGAGTCTCGGAGAATGTTGACCGAAAATGACATTCGATTGTTAATTTGATTCGATATCACACAAAGTAGATGCACGATCAATCTTTTTCCTACGTAGGAAGGAAAAGAATTATACTAATATCCGGCTAGAAATTCGATCCATTCTTCTCGCAGCGTACTCGAATCCTGTGCCGGTTTTCTCGAGCTGCTTTCTATTTACAGTCAGCGATTGTCGTCCATCGGTTTGCAAGATCGTTCCCTTTAAATCTTACAAAAATTTGCAGAAACAAAGGAGAACGAGGATAAAGGGTAAGACTGCTGTTCTACACGATGAGCCGTTTATCTCCGTTTCGGTAACCTTATACTTGAACTGTTCTTTAACTTCTTGTGCTATGAAAGCTCTCTCTTCTGTCCTGATCGTTGTCGGAGCAGGTTGCTCTCTCACTTCTTCGGCTATCACCGCCCTAGCTTTTGTCCTGTTTTTTCCTCTTCTGATGTACAATTCGGATAAAGCTGTCGAGTACAGAATTTCGATTAAACGACAGTAAAACTGGAACAAAACACGTAGCGCGGATCATTTACCTTTGTCCACCACTGCGTCTTCCTCAAAATCGACTTTAATCAGAGCAGACATAGTAACTTCGAAGATTTTATTCTTATCGGTATTCGAGACATCGATTGCTCTCCTTTTCCTGCCGAATCCAATTTGGCCGTTACTGCACTCGATCTGAAGCATTTCGTTAGTGAACAAGTGTCGATGGGAGTAAACGTTAACGCAATGACTTAAATTATAAGCTTTGCGAAATAATGGCGCGTTAATAATGGCAAAGATCGACAACATACCCCTTGGCACTTATCCAAGCAAACATTTACGGTACCGCGAAATTGAACGTATGTACTTTCTGGGAATTTGAATGCTCGGAATTTTGCCGTCAGAAAGTCGCCGTCCACCGTGTTGAAATTCTCGAACAGATATGGATCCACGGAGCAGCTGGCGACAGGAAAGACGATGTGAAACGTTCCGGTTCGAGGATACAGACGAATTAGAAAGAGTTCGCTTACCCATTAATAATAATAGTTTCTTCCTGTGATTTGGTGTCTGTGACTAACATATAGGTAACCAACAGTCCATAAACGGGCGCGGAACCATTGTCCAGGAAGATCTCCATCTGCAAAGGTGTACCTGGGCTAACGTTCAGTTCTCCAGTAACGAGATTACCACCTTGCCTTACGCCGACTCCCAATATCGGTACCGGTGCCGACTCGGAAATCTCTCCCCTGATGTCGATCACACTGGTACAGGAAGCAAGAGAGTCGTATTAAAATTTTTGCCGAGAAAGAAACGTTGTTTCTGGTTGAATCGTAAAATGGCTGTTAGAAGCAACACGCAGCCATCTGGCAAATGGAACTTATCGAACCTGAGGAAGATGCGATTGAATGTAATTTCCGGGCAAAAACTACGAACAAACATCACCTTATAACGTCGAATCGCGAGATTACGATGATCTATACGATTCAGTGGTCAGTCGGGGTAAAATTAAGCCGCTCGCGAGTCGCAAGAACACGGAAAATAGACGCGAGTGAATCGTGCTGCGACCTAGGTTACTTTCGACAGTCATCGACCTGAATCGCGTTTCTTCTTCTGCCGAAGCATTCGTCATTTCCGTGAAACCGTATGCCTGGCAACGTTACGAACGGCACAGGCTACAAACGGTACTGGAGAGACAGAGGATGATGACGAAGCCGGAAAAAGCAGGGACCGCGATAAAGTTTCCGTTTGGACGACGCGTTTGTCGATGAGCTTTTTGCTGTTCGCATCTGTTATCTTCCGTGAATCGAATAGACGCGCAAATGGACAACGATCGAAGACTATCCGAAGAATTTTCAGTTGTTCGATCATCCCCCGATAGTCGGCTGATGCGCACGGTGATCCCTAATCGCGATGGACGCATCCAATCGAGCAAGCGTGCAATTCCATCGACTTCGTGGAAGCAGAAACAGTTATCAAGATCGAGAAAGAATTTTCCCGTAGTGCGTAGCTCGACCTCGAGGAACGGCTACGGGAGATACCGCGTGATAATTCAACAATAAAGATTTTACGGCTTCCTGGTTGAGAGGCGACACATCGACGATCCGAAGAATCCGCGCAACAACCATGGCAAAGTGTACGATCGATTAGTGCCAATAAATTAGTGCCGCGAAACAGGAACGAGACAAAAATTCCACCTGTGTACGCACGGTTCGCATCGAGAAACTCCCGAGAGTATACTCGGGAAGAATGTCGCCTGGCGAAGTAACTTTCATCGGCGGGAAGTAGGAAGAGAATCTCTCTGACAGCAGTCGCGTCACTGTTGCCTGCTAAAATTACGTTACAGGTTTTCTGCCATCTGTCCATGACCGACTGGTACGTGCTGATACGTGCGTAACGCCATTCGTAAATCATAATTTGGCAACTATCATCGGGGATAAATCGCGAACGAAAAACAAAAGCGATAAACACGGGAATACGAGATGAAGAGATCCACGAATGTAAGAAGATTTATTCAAACGAGGTTTTAACAGGCCGTTTAGAAACGAAACGTCGAGGCTGCTTTGGAGGGGTCGTTAGTGTCTCTTATGCGACATTTACATGTTCCGGGCAAACAAAAGGATCTCCACGGATGGTCGTGCGCCGGTTGGAACGTTTTACCAGGAATATGCGGAGAATACGAACAAGTCGCAAAGTGAGTTTTATCGAAGGAACGGGAAAAGGAAGGGAGATTCTGTGACGCGAGGTATACGAGGCTAAAATTACATTTCAGGTTTTCCAGCACCTGCGCGTATAGGCTGGAAGAATAAATGGAACGTGGAATCATGAATCAACCCGGTGACCACGACAAATGTTCATCTTCGTTTAGCTCGTTCATTCGAATTAGAAAGCAACGAATGCTTGAATTTTCTTTCTTCCCGTAATACCGTGGCCTTCTTATTCTCGCACCGTTACCATTTTCTATACAATCTGTGCTTCCTCCTGTGTCATAATTGCCTCGAGATTAAATATCCTATTGAATGAACTGCTCGAAAGAAATATAATCTTGATCCGAACGAAGCTCGTCTCGCCTGGATCGAAGAAACCAACGATTGCAAACACTTTGCACGCGGTATACCGATATAGCGTGGATAATTACCAGTAGGTCAACGCGCCTCGTTTCATTCAGTACCTAAATCAAGAATCAACCTTCTCTTCTTTGATTAATCAGTTTTGCCACCTGCCTGTACGATTGCGATTAATTGCTAGCTATGATCCGAGAACGAACATCTTGTCTGACCAGACGCGATCTTATTTCGCTACAGCCTCAGCCCCGGAAACTTTTAACCGTTTAAATCATCGAAGAGCGAAATGCCTCGTACAACGGCGAGTTTATAGATGGATGAAAGTTTCGAAGATTATTTTAGCTGTTACTTCGTCGAGCTTCTCTGAACGTATTAGACGAGAAGCTGTCCTTGATGAGGATACGCAACTGTTGCGCGTGCACGATCGCTTAGGCGCGTTCAACAGCTGTTAGAATCGCGTTCGAATTGGTTTATAACTAGTGTCGTATAATACAACGGTTCTTGCTTACGGCTGATCTGCGCAAAGGTCTAAACTGACACACCGAAAATATAAATACGCGAATAAATCTAGAGGCGAATGATAAACGTAGAGGGATCTGGAATAAATAGCTTAGAAACTGAATATTAAGGTAAAAGATGAACTCACTCGGGTTCCTGGAAACCTGCTGGAAGAACGCTCCGTCGAACCGCGGTGTGATTGGCTGCGATCGAGATTCCAGGTTTCACAACGACTTCGGTGATAACACACTTTACAGTGAACGTGTGCTTGCTGGAATCCGCGGGCTCCTCCACTATTATCCGATGAAAGTACACCTTCTGACCCTGTATATCATTATACGACTGTAATTTTGCTACAATCCATGGCATCCTCGATCGAAACAATGAAAGGAGTAGTAACAATTTATCGCTGCTCGTGCACGAATCGATACGTTCGTTCGAACGTTCATCACGAGAGATCGATTTTATTTCACCGAATACACTTCCATCCAATCACGTTTTTATTCCAAAGAGTTCGCGAATGCTAACGCTAAATCGAACGCGAGCACGCCGATCTCTGTTCCATTGCGGCAGCCGGATACGGATTAATAGATTTCCTTCTTTCGCTTTGATAGGCAACTTATGCCACGATGCCAGAAGCCTCGCCGGCAGAACGGCTGATGCGAAAAACTTGCCACCGCGGGTCAAAGAAACTAAATTCGATCGGATCCGGCAAAATTGTTCCAACGTCGTATAAATCACGCTTCGTATCGGTATTGGTTAAATTATTCGATGATTTGAATTATTCGGAAATCATAGTTTTATCGGCCATCAGACTCGTAATTATGCCTTACCGTAACTTTGTTAACGACTCTTGTGATACCACATCGCAACATGTCCTGTTCCAAGAGCGGTAATCGGAACGTGGCGACGCCGTTGCTAAGCCGAGGTTTGCAAGCTTCGTCTGTAAAAGAAGATACGTTTCAGCGTGTAAAATACGCACGTACCTTCGCTTCCCGCTTCTATATCTCACAGCTACGTCCGCAACGCGGACCTTGGCACAGGCAGAAACACGAAACGAATCGATCTTTACCTGGAAAGTCCTTCATCTGTTGTAGATATATCCTCGCCTGCGGACTGCTCCTTGCGATGTCAACCTCCATCCACTGCTCGGAGCATCTCACTTTGCTTTGGACTGAAACGAAAAGACGGAAAGAAACGTTAGCCTTTACCGTAGCGCTTTCGAAAGAAAGGTCATACGTTCGATGCTCTCCTATCCACCGTAATCGTTTTCGCAAAACAAAGAAGAACATCGAATATGTCTATGTAGCGCAATATCGGTCGAGTAGATTAGACGTGTTTCGGAAAAACGGAAGACAAGGTTACGGAGGAAGGCAGACAGCATCCTGGCGAATGGCGAACGCGAGGAAAAAGAAGAGGAGAAGTACGACGTAGCCGCAAACTAACTTGCAGTATACCACGGTAATTGCCCCATAAAGTCGTAAACGTCTCGACCTTGAAAAGCGAGCAGCTCGACATCGTGCGCTCGAGAAACCCGGGCTGATGTACATCCCCCTAGGTTGGACCCTGTTTATTCGCGGAACTCGACGATAGATACTTTCACCGTTTGCGAGTAATGTCCGCATGATCCACACCGAAAGCACCGGTTTACATTATTACGATATGAGAATGCTCCGTCCAACTGTGAAAAACGAAGAACTCGCGGAGGAACAACCGCGCATCTCCTAGTTCATTTCCTACCCGGATAATTGAATTTTCAATCATAAATCTCGTACTAGAGATAAACGCGATCCAGCTTTACGCTCCCGTGATCGATGGCTAATTTCATCGCCATCGATATAACGATTCGCTATCGTTAAACCATCATCGATAACTGTATTTGACTATAGCAAATGTTCCAGCGACTGACGGGCGGCAACTGTCGAGGAAGGAAAAATCGAATAGCCGATAATTGAGATCTCCGTTCGAGTATAGATCAACGAACCATGCTAAATGATTTCATCCAGCAATCCACGTGGATGTCATTTGATACATAATTTCTGCGTTCATCTCGAGAACAATCGCTGTATCTCTGTGGGACGGCAAGGTGCATGCAGTTCATAGCCAGTTACGCGGCTCGAGTAATAATTCACGATGAAGGATTATCGTCACGCGGGCTACGCGTCGTTAAAGAACGTAGCATATCATCTACGCGACAGAGGACCGGAGTCGAGAGAGTTTCATGCACAAGCTGACTCCTCTCCATTGCAAACGAGAAAGCCAACGAACCACGCGCTCTGGTTGCCATCTCGAGATGGTTCGATAACGTAGCAGTCACGGATCGACGACGTTTGCTTATGAATCGAGACAACGACGTATGTTTGCCTCTGTGATCCAAATACATTTTACTCGAGAAATTTTCCAACGTTTCGACGTTTTCTCGCTGCGAAGGAAATTTTTCCACTCCTCGCTTGTCTCTCACCTATTTTCACCTGTCGCTCATCGTGACAAGCCTGAACGATGAAACGTCTCACCCGGACAGATCTCGTGTCCCCGTCCTCGTTCATCGTTTCCGTCTGTCCATCGAGTCGCGATTAACGCGCAAATTACGCGACTGCACGGTGTGTCACTTTCAAATAGCCCCAGGGTTGGCGGTCTTTTCCATTAGCGAGTTTAAAGTGCTTCCCCAGGCGGCACAACCACCTGTACGATCCTCCACAGCCATCTCTCGACGGAGGTCCGTGACCTTAAACTCTTTCTTCTTCTTTCGTTCTGTGTTCTTCCCCTCTATTTCCTTTTTTCATTTTCGACGTCCGCTACGTTTTTGCTCTACCGCCGAAGCCTCTTTTACTCTGCTCCTCCTCGATAGCAAGCTCGCTTCTTCTTCTTCTTCTTCTTCTTCTTCTTTTTCTTATTTTCTTCCTCCTCTCCCTCGTCTTCTTCTTCTTCTTCTTCTTCTGCTGCTGCTGCTTCTTCTCCCTCTTTCTTTCTTCGCTTACCTCTCCTTCTTTGTGTTTTGATCAGCGGCATTCTCCTAACATCGTAGTCACTGCGAGAGATCCTGCACCTCCAATTTTTTCTTCCTTACCTCTCTGTTTCCAGTGTTCCTCGCGATGTCATTTATTTACCCCGCTGTCAGACAGGCGGAGGACTTCCTGTTTCGGTTTTTTCCACCTCGTCGACGGTCCTCCAACGAGCTGCAACTTTTTTTTTCGAGTATCCTCCGGTTCGGACACTCGCCCCATTGTCTTCGTAATTTATGCCGCCGATAGGGATCCGCTTTCATTACCGGGGTAATCGTTTCGTCCGAATGCTGCCGGTTCTTCGTTCCGCGAACGATTCTCGACGCCGCGGGAGAGACTATACATGACCCTTGTACCTTTCTTCTTTATTATTCTCGCCGAGTTTCCGATCCCTTCCTCTCTACTCTTTACCGTCATTAAATCCGAGAAGCACGCATCACCCCGCTCTCTGAGAATTCCGTTCTTCTCTGCCCTTCTCCTTTTAACACTGCCTTTTCCTCCCTCTCGCTTCCCTTACTCTTCCCTTAGTCTTCCCTCTGGCTCTGCGCTCCGTCCTCGCGAGATTAAGATCTCAGGAAGTTTACGAAGAAGTCGAAGCTCACCTTTACCCCCGGCACGGTTTTCCCACCTTGCCACCTTTCTACGCTCCTCCGCTAGCCCCCCTCGTTGTTAATTGCTTCCCACTTTTTCTTCCTACCGATAAGACTTTCTTATCTCTTTACGATTGTATCTATGTACCCGACGCGTTTGCCTTTGTAATTTTTAAGCGACTTTGCCAATTGTAATGGAATAATCTTTGACCCGCTTTCTCTCTCTCTCTTTGATCGAGCCTCGATAACTGATAATACGAGACGAATAACGTAGATAATAATTTCCATAATTTCCAGAAAGTTTTCCACATCTTCCTGATTTTAGTTTTATTGTGTTCATGAGACGAATATGTATCAGCATGAGCATAACGTGTCTGTTGAGAAATGTCGTATAAAAGGTTCCTTAATCCTATATCGTGGACCAATTAAGGTTGATCAAGCTAGTTGCAAGTCTAGCATTCATTCTTGCTCTATGGGACATCGCCGTCAATACGATACGGTTTAAAAACTATCGCAAAATATCGTCGACTGTTTTAAAGAAGCGTGATTTTCTATAATCGTTACACGGGATCCAAATCGCTAATGATGTAAATTTTGGTTATGATTTCGGCAATTTTTGAAATACGACGTTACTTCGAAAATGTCGTTTACGTAACGGTTATTATGAGTTATTTCCGGAATCGTTTCTACCCTTGGTGCAAATTCGAAAAAGAAAACGAGTGATCGGTTTCACTGTCGATGGTAAACGGACTGTGTATTTAATGTTCGCATAGTGGTCCCTTATGAACGGTTCCCTCGTGTTCCGGTTTCTATCTCTTTTCTTTGCTCCTCGCTATTACGCCCTTTCTCCGACTGTTTCATAAAGTGGCCGGGGAAGAAGGAGGAATTGGTGTAAATTACGGCAACACACGACCGTTGGGATTACAATAATTTGAGACCATTACCGATCTCGGTGTTCAGACAAGAACGAAGGCGCATAATTACGCGTCATCGCGCCATAATACGCTCCGTGCTGTACGGATTACGATGCCAAAGATCAAGGACAGTTATATCGCGAGAGAAAATCAGTGACAAAGTTCAATTTGTATCGCTTTAATTCGAAGAGTCGAGAATAACGAAAGTTCTCCAGCGTTTTTAAGAAAGCTCCGCGAATGGTCTTTTTCACAACGATTCAGAACTCGCTAAAGCTTCCGTGAAAGACATTCGAGATGTGTACATTTGTCGACAGCGAACGGCGTGGGCGACCCCATTTTCCAATGACGCGATTAGCATTCGTATTCCGTTGTCTATACACCCATACGTCGTTAACTGTACAACTAACAACCACGAGTGGAGAAGAACAGACAACGAAGCGTGCACTTGGAAATTTCTGCGGCTAACAATTAAGTGGCAGCAAAGAATGGATCAGATCGAACAGGATGCACGTTCCTTGATATATCCTCCTGCACGTTCGTTTCCGGTCGTGCATGATTCACGCATACCGTGACATATTCTTACATCGACAACCTTGTTGTCTAATTTTATCGTCTATCCGAGATGGACGATGCGTAGCAACTTCAATTCTAAAATCCACGATGGTTTACCCCGATCATCTCAAAATATTGTAGAGAAAATGCCCGTTGACTAACAATTGGATGGATATCGCGCATGTTAAGAACTTGACTAGGGGTTAATAGGATGTAGCGTAGACCAACTTCGGTAACACTTTGGTAACCATAGAGAATCGAAGTCACGGGAACTGGTTTTAAACCATCAACGAGCTTGGGAGAGTAGCCATTACCGGCTAGATGCTGCACCGTGCCTTAGCACTTGAGACGATTATTCTTTAATAAGGATTCCAAGGATACAACGAAGATATAATATTCGTCGATTTTGGTAGACGATCAGTATTTTTTAATATCAAGGAGATAATTAATAAATCAACGAGTCTCGTTGGGCCTTTTACGTTTCATGTGCCTTGGGTCTGACAGCTATAATTGATATCATCACTCGATACTTTTAGTTTAAGGTATAGTTATCACGCGTGGAATAACGCTATGCGATATTACATTTTTCGCGTGGATTTAGAGCGATTGGCGTAAGAAACGGATCGCAATTTGCAATTATAGACATTCTAACGAAGCCAAGCAACGTTTCATTTCGCCAACGAGAAATTGGCCACGGAATCAATTGGTTGCTTCACGATCTGGAATAATAATGCATCGTGCTGGAATAATAACGATCGTTATTGCATTGCTATTGCTTTGAACGGTACGGAGTCGGCAGGGATTCAGCGCCCCCCCGTGGATTCGTACGGTAATCGAGAAATCAGTTTTGGAGACAACGCGTTGCTCCAAAGGCGATCGTTACGATCGCAAGCGACTTCGATATCGCGAGACAAAAGATACCATTTCCAAGATCGAGATTCCAGCGAGCTTCCAACGACTTCCGCTTGCAAGCAGAGTGCATTGCTCGTAAATCGATACGCTTTCGAAGTTACAGTTATAACACAGGCTGCTGGTGGTAGGCGAGTTTCGAGCGCTGAATTTTACCAAGGAACATCTCTTGCTGAAGCTGTGTCGGCCGGAATTTCGAAATGAAGC